ACCTGATTGCTTAATTTCAAGAGAATTGTACACAATATCCTTATCTATTTCCATCCACAAATATTCACCCCTACTTTGCCAATGGTTTTGCCTTCTACTAGAATCCGTCATTTGAAGAGTGATTACACATATGCATGGGATACAAAAATAAAAACACCAATCGATATTTGATATTCATTACTTTTGTCGTACAGGCACCAATTAGTCATACAGAGGGAAATTCTTATGAGCAAGCATAATGAGTTATTGACTCACAATAGAATTCTTCTGTTGGATGAGAAAATGAACAAGCAAAAATGTGCATGACTCATTGGAGGGTGTAGAGGCATTGTGAGCTAAAGGTGAAATAATAATGAGATTTGGGGGACAAGAAGTGGTGTCAAATCCAAAATGATATACTGAAACTGAATCGAAGCTAAAGTTGAAATAATAATCATCGAAATATTTGTTAGATATATTCAATTTGTCAAATCTTTGTTCAGTTGTTGATTTCAAATTGAGATTTGAGAGAGTCCACACTTGTTTGCCCTAATACTCAAATTATCACTAGACTAGTTTGTTGAGGTTGATCATCGAAATATTTATTAGATCCATTTCAGACAGATCTTTTTTTTTTATAAGGGTGATCTGAATATTACCAACAGCAAGAACGAAACAAAAAAGTTCATACAACAGGCCTGCACGAGAAGTGCGAAGCTGCCCAGGCCAAACCAGGAAACTAGGCCCGCCAGAAGGCCCCTGTTTCCCCGATGGCCAACAAAACAAAAATAAACAAAACCAAAGCAGGACGGAAGAACAGCAGCAAAAAGAAACACTCAAAAGACAAGAACAGAGAAGAAAAGGAACAGAACATAGACACCAAGCCGAGTCCAGGAGGACAGAACAGATACATGAGCAAGGCAGCAGCGGAGGCCACCTACAGCTCCGCCCGCGACATGGAGAACCAGCTTACGCCTTGTTCCCTACTCATTTTGCCATGAGCAACCAACCACTCTGCAATCGCTCTCACCGTCTTCTGCAAAACCACCGAGGAGCTGCTGCCATCATCCCTGAATAATCGCCTATTTCTCTCTAACCATAACTGCCAGCAGACAGCATGGAGAAAGCAATATCGAAACCAATCGCCTAAGGAGCTCGGCTGCTCATCATTCCAACTACGGATGACTTCCAAAATGTCCCCTTGAGGCATGTACAGATATCGGTTGATCCTCCTTCCACCAGCCCACAGCTCATAACCGAAAGCGCATCTGGTGAAGATGTGATCAACTGACTCCTCTTCTTTATAGCACAAGCTGCACCTGTTCGCCAAATGAACCCCCCTTCTTTGGATTGAATCGACCGTCATAATCTTCTTGTGAGCAACCGTCCACATGAAAGCATTAATCTTTGAGGGGATCAACTTCCTCCACACAGAATTCCTCGGAAAATTATCCACCCCCTGGAAAAGACCCTCATGCAAAAACCTGTACATTGAACTCACAGAAAAGGTAGAATTGGGATTTGGAGTCCAAACAAGTTTGCTTGGACCACACACCAATTTAGGTAAATCAACATTATTCAAAAGGAACATAAGACTCTCCCTCTCTCTTTCCGCACCCCCTCTCAATCTGTTATTCAAAACAATATCCCAACCCACACTCTCACCTGTCTGTTTGATTGTCTCCGAGATCCAGGCGTCCGGCCGAGCAGCGGCAGCAGCGACTCTAGGGAAAGCGTCCGCCAGAATCATGTTCGGCAACCACGGATCATTCCAAAAGGAGACCCACGCACCTCCACCAGGATCAATATGTACCGCTTTCCAGAAATCAGCATACTCCTTAGTAATGTTAGCCCAGACCGATCCTCCAAAACCCCTACTACATTTCTTACTCTGCCAAACTGAGTTCCCTGCAGGATATTTAATGTCAATTAGTTCTCTCCACCAGCTTCCTCTATTCTCCGCGAACTTCCATAGCCATTTGCTTAGCAAGGCCTTATTGAAGCTCTCTTTGTTCATCTCAAATTGAGAGTTTATGGTGAAAGGTTGCTTTCAGTTATGTTTCTTTTCAGGGACTAGGAGGAGGTAAATATGTCTTTCAATTGATTAATCCACACGTCACATCTCAAATATTTTTTTTTGCCTCCACCATCCATGATAATATGTCCATGTCTATATGAACCGTATATGTTTATGATGTGACGACCATTTACGATAATTATGATGATACAGCCAAGAGAGATATGTGGCGGTACTACTCTTCTAAAAATTGACGTGAGCTTGAGCTCCTTTTACTAGTCATTATAAATAATGGGTAGCAGCCTATAGTGATGATGTTGGTCAATTATTTTGCTATTGAGTACCACATCGATTTCATCTTATTGATTTTAATGGAATATTATTTTACTCGTGGGTATCCGACCACCCCAACCTAGTAATGCGGGATATCTCAGCATTATCTGGATATGGGTAAAACTCGCAAAAAAATTGATGGAAATGTGACGGATATGGTCTTAGACTTTCCGTCTTATACTCATACTCATACCCACGTCAACAATAGTATTTTTTCATACATAAAAATTCAGAGTTTACATTTTAATCCCTCAATGAAATGTAATTGAGAAAATAAGTTAGGGAGTGAATATACTCAACCATAAGGGAGAGGAGATTTTCTGTATAGCAATATGTATGGAGAACTTAAAAGTAATTGAGTAGCCATTCAAACCCAACACTAATGTCTTTCCCTTCATTCACCCTTCATTTCTTTCTCCATTATTAATAAGATTATGTTGTTATTTATTGTTTAGTAGATGTGTCGGAGTCGAAGATGAAAATTTTGGATAGTATTGTACTTTTTTATGGATTAATGAATGGTTTAGGATTGATTCCTTTAAATTTGTAATAAGAATGATTGTAGCTTTGTGGATTTAATGACTTATTAGGTCTGTTTAGTGTCTAACTAAAAGTTTGTATGTTGAATCCGATGTATAGTAATATTGTATATACGAGATATGTAATATTACCCACAGGTAGCAAAAACCATGGATATGGGGATAGAGTTATGAATCCTCCCTCCGCAAGGGTATGAGACGATATGAATTTGGTTATTAGGAAATAGAAAAGTGGATGATTTAGAAAAATCCGCCTCATTACATTCCTAGTCTTGTTTTCACCTATTTCGTTTGTAACTCTCATTTTTAAATTATTTGCACCAAAGAAGTCTAATTCATAATAATACTGTAGATAATATGTACTAAAATCACATATCACAAATCAATCGATCCATTTATGAGTCTTTAGATATACTGATTTTATTTTCCCTAAACTGTTTAAGTTCTTTTCAGTTTGGGACAAATTAATCGATCCATTTAGAACTTTCCAATCAGCAACAAGGGTACAAATCTGTACTTCGTTGATGCTATATCCCCCAAAACTCTCGAGTCTCAACCTTCATTGCTGTACTTGCTTCATGTTCTTATCTTTTCCTTTAACTTTTCTGATCCTTTAACTTTTACTTTTTACATAGATTCTATTGGCTTTCGGTAGGAAAGTGAACAGACATGTGAAAGTCTGCCACAAAATTATCTTCTTTTGTTTTCCTTTGTGTTAGACTGTTAGTATATATACATGTGCCTTTTGTTTTACTATGTATGTTCCTGGGTAGTTTGCTTCTAAGTTACTAATTCATTTTTAGTTCTGGTTCAATTTTATTATTTACAATCAAAAGTTTAAATTAGGGTTTTAGGAGTGCAAAGATTAACCGTAACCATACTAGCTAATCTATCCCAGGAGCTGCGACCACTAACTAATTAATAACGATGGCCTAATTAACCCGTTTACTGCATTCATACCGCATCTCCATCACAAAGTCAGCTTTGTACTTTGTAGACGAGGATCAATTCAATAATAAAAATTAGAGGTCCCAACTACGCCTACCACGTTGGTATCATCTCCATTTTTTAACTCAAATCTGAAAAATTGTGTAAAGAAGGAACAAATTTATGGTGGTATATTGTGATTTAATTTTATAAAATAAATTTGAAAGTAAAATATCACCATATATATATATATATACCACCATGATATGTGAAGTTAACTGGTGACAGATTATGGTGAAAAAAGTTAAATGATGGTTAGTATATTCTTACTATTGTGTATAAAATCATTATACACTATGGTATAATAATCATTCCAATATGATATACTTCCGTATCACTATAGTATAATCTCTTATGTACTAACAAACATTATTACCATTATAAATAGTAACGGTTAAAAAACCGATAATCTCTTAAATGTTTCGATTAAAACCGAAAATAATTTCGATTTATTTTGACTTAAACCACAAATGTAAGGGCTTATCGATTTCAGTTAACTTAAAATCGATAAACTCTTAATAGTTTCGGTTAAAATAAAAAACATTAATAAATTGATAAAAAAACTGTAAGCCTTAACATAATCAAAGGTTCAGGTTCGGTTTCGGTTAATGTCTTATCGATTTTGGTTAATCGAAAGCCAATAAGCTCTTAGCAGTTTTGGTTTTAAACAATAGGCTAATTCATATTTCGATTTCTAATGATTTTTCGGTTTGGTTAACCGAACTGAATCGTCATCCCTGGTATAAACTCTAAATATATGTCTCAAATTTTTGTTCAAAATAATATCAAGGTGGTTGTCTTTTTGAAGAGCACAAGTAACATGATTTTCTTTACATTTTTGAATTTCGACTCAAAACAAAAGAGATATAACCCATTAAATTTAATCGAACAAAAATTTATACACGATACTTACCAAACAAATTACTGTCTAATTCCGATCCCCATCTGCTGCATGCTATATATATATATATATATATATATATGACATATTCCAAATCTACTCCTCCCAAAACATATCTAAAACCATAAACACAAACACACACACAACACACTAACATACAAGCTCTTAAAAAGATTCTCCCACGTCAAAAATGACTCTTTCTCGAGTCTTTGCAACCACATTCCTTCTACTTTCTCTCGTTGTGATGATCAATTCACCAACCTTCGCAGCCGGTCACACCAACGACAACCCTTTCCAGCGCCTGGAGGGTTGCCGCAAAGGCGAATCCACGAAAGGCCTCCACAACCTCAAACAATACCTCCAGAAATTCGGCTACTACCTCAATCACAACAACAACAACGACACCAACTTTAACGTAGCCGCCATCACCCACCAAAACGACGACGTATTCGACGAGCTCCTCGAGGCAGCAATCAAGCTATACCAACTCACTCACCACATCCCCGCTTCCGGCTCCTTGGACCGCGCCACCACGGCCCAAATGACGATCCCGAGGTGCGGCGTACCGGACCACAACCTTATTTCAGCAGTGATGTTGGACCCCGACGCCGCAACAAACAAAGGAGGCCCAAAGAAGGATTACAGATTCTTCAAGGGCGAGCCCAAGTGGAACCAGAACCGGTTCCGCTACAAGTTCTTCCGCGGCCGCCCTCCCGCCGGGCTGAAGGAAGCCACGTACAAGTCCGCCGTGGCCCGAGCTTTCCGGAGCTGGTCAAACGTGACGCGGTTCGCGTTCGAGAATGTGGACAGCAGGGTGCTGCTGAACGTCGACATGACGATTGCGTTCTACTCGCGGGACCACGGGGATGGGAACCCGTTTGATGGGCCTAAAGGGACCTTGGCCCATGCGGCCCAGCCGCGCTACGGTTTGTTCCATTTGGACGCGGACGAGAAGTGGACCGACAACCCGAGGAAGAAAGACCAGTTCGATCTGGAGTCCATTTCGTTGCATGAGATTGGGCATATGTTGGGGCTTGACCATAGCGACGACAAGAGTGCGGCCATGTACGCTTATTTGGATGGCGGGAAAACTAAGCGGAGGTTGCAGAGTGCGGATATCAGGGGCATCAAAACACTCTACAAGCTGCGTTGAACTTAAATGCAAACAGTCAGACTGTGGAACTATGGATGAATAATAATCAATGATGTGACACTGTAATATATATATGATATATAGACCTATTTACTAAAATAAAAGGGAGATGTAATATCTTACGATAAAAAGGTCTATCAAGCATGCTCGTTTGTTTGTATGACTATGTACTCTACAACGCCAGTCGTATAATAAAACTTTGTTATTATTTTATAGAAATTCAGTTTTCCTATCATTTCGTGATAGTTTTGGTTGTTGTTCATGCGTGCCACATTTTTCTTCCATTCGACTCAACGATGTGGGTGCTTCTTTTGTGGCCCTTTTCTCCTTCCCTTGGCGACGAGCAGAGCAAAACTAGGGATTACGGCTGGTGTCTTCATGAGCCGCCGCCGTCGAGTTGGAGGCAAAACATATCCTTCCACTGGCGACGAGCTGGAGGCAAAACTAGGGATTAGGGTGATGGATTGGGGGTGACCTTTTTTTGGAATTGGGGTAGTATTGTCTGATTGGTTAATTTATGGCGACCAATTCTTATTTTTTTTTCTAATGCATATATTTTTTTTATATTTAATGAATAAGAAAAAAAAACTTGTGGACCATAATAGGTGACACTTACTCACTCCATTGGCATTTTCATGTTATAACAATCGCTTCCACCTATGTCTATTATCTGTTATATGCACGCCAAATAATTATTAAAAAAGCATATGCAATGAATAAATGTGTTGGGAAATTGTGTCTATATATGAAACGAAGGAACTTTAAGCGACATTTCTGCGTCGCTTCCATAATTGTCGGTGTAGACTTTTTGTGACGTTTTTTTGGCTTTTAAGTGACGCATCCAATTCGTCTCAAGAGACCATTTCTATTGTAGTATGTGCTAGCTAGTTCACGGGCAAGGGAACAAATTTCATTGATTTGAGGAGAGTACAAGTTATAAACAAATTTCATAACCGACAAACCAAGTAAACTAACCTGACTGGCCTATCTACAGGTTAGGGTAATGAAGAATATTTATAGAATTCTTCTCCAAATCCCAAATAAAAAATCAAACATATTTTCCAAACCTTCAAGAAAAAAACCAAAACAAAGTCCAATCAAAATGGGACCAAAACGCAAAACAAAGGAACAAATTCCAAATCAAATTCTAAGTCGTGTACTTGAGCCCTCCTAGGAGATATATATTTCTTATTGTACTATAGTATTTCATTTCATAAGCAAATGTGATGTTATCACTAATTAGCCTTCCTTTAAATGAATGCAAACTTATTAGCACTTACGAGACACCACTAATTCTATACGCTTGTACCTTAGAGACGTATTTATAGATGGCATTACAACATGAAATGAGACGAAATTTTTTCATGTTATCAAAATTTCGTCCCCATTTCCTTCATGCGATTCATGGATACTAGTAGATAATTTTTTCCCCCGGTGGATACCAATAGATAATTCCTTTCCATCACACTAGATACAAATTGAACTTTAATTTTTTTAAAAGAAAAGAAAATAGGTAAAAATATGTATTAATATAAGTAAATTCATATAGGCTCTCATTGATCACCTACCAAGTTCCTTTACTTTGTAATTTGAATGAAATTCAATTCTTATTTGCTGTCCTTTTCAGTCATTTTACTTCAATTGTAATTTTAAAATTATTTCAAAATAAATTACCAGCTAAGCAGACAACGGCTATTTTCGAACCCGAAAAGGTTTGGCGCGCATATTGCTACGATCGAGCTATACAGAGCATAAATTACTATTTCCGACAATCCACTCATATAATTTTTGGTATGGTAAATACAAATAAATATTTCCTTTAATAATTCACAAAAAAAAATTATTTCCTTTAATATCATATCTAGTTACTTGCTATAACTTCATGCACCTATAAAAAAATCTCAATTTTAATTACTAAATATGTTCCCATATTTATCAGGAAAAATATCATCCCATTATGAATTCCTTTCCTTCATTAGATAATCCAAGAACCAACAAGTTTATTCATAGCAACAACATAGCTATCACACTATAAATATTGTTAAATCCTGTTATGTTCATCACATAGCTAACTCTTCTGATCAAAATCCCAAACAAAAAAGAAGCGAAATCATGGGGAGGAAGAAAGTGAAGTGTGAATTGATTAGTGATGAATCTTCTCGAAAGACAACGTTCAAGAAGAGGAAAGCTGGCTTGCTGAAGAAACTGCAAGAGATCACCACGCTCTGTGGAGTCATTGCTTGTGGGATCATCTTTAGCAATTTCAGTACCAAGGGGAGGTCACAACAGCCCAATCAACAGCAAGAAGTCTGGCCTTCGGTTCCTGAGGCAACCGCGGTGGTCGAGAAGTTCAAGGATCTTCCGGAGAAGAAGCAGAGGAAGTACATGCTGAACCAGGAGTCGTTGCTGAGCGCGAGCTCGTCGAAGATGAAGGAGAAATTGGAGGCTCAGGTGGAGAAGAACCGGAGGCTCGAGCTGGATCTGCTGTTGGCAGATCCGGTCGCGGCCTACCATCACGACGTCCTGCCTGACAGTGGTAGCAGTGAGGATTTTGTGAATCATGCCGCGAAATTGGATGGTATGCGTGAGATTGTGAGCAACAAGGTTGATCAAATTACTGAGCGAATCGAGCATATTAAGAGCAAGGGCAGGAGGATGAGAACTCGTTATTCGTGATTTTTTCTCTCTCTCGTATCTCATGACAAAGTATCGATCATATGGTTTGTGAGGATTATGTAGCAATGCAACAGAAATGAATAAATGAAATTGAGTCTGTTTGTTGCTTTTTTTCTAAAAATCCTTTTACCGTTCTGTGTAATTTGTGTGTGCTATATTCAATCGTATTTGCTGCACAAATTATAACAGCGGTGTACATCTTCCGACATACAACTTATCGCACAACGGCTCTTTCTACTTTTGAACTTCCGACATACAGTAATGCATAGAGTTGCAAGATTATTATTTTTGGTTATAAGTCCGCGCTTTGAACTTTCCTTGCTTATCAATAGAGCGTATCATATTCATTTTATTTTTTTTAAATATTTATGAGCGAAAACTCGATAAGATAGCATTTATGCATAACTGTAAAAGTCATATTCATTAATGCGCTTTTTAAAGAGATGTGTCTGTATTTACACTCTCGATTTTGGGTGCATAGCGCGCACAATTGTCATTCTGATAATTAAACTCATCTGAAAATGATCTCAATCTTTTTTTTAACTTCTGTACAAATGAAAAAAAAATGTGAAAATCTTATAAGATTGACTTTTATTTTGTGTTTTTGAAACTTGCTCAATACGACAGGGAAAAATTACCTAATAGTAATTATAGTAACAAAGTTTTCTAATTCTAATTAAGATATATATCATCATATTAAACAAATGTCGTCGATTGAAAGAGTACACCTACAATGACATTGCGAAAACACCCAACAACGATGGTGTCTGGCGCACAAATTATGTCGACCTGTAAGGGGATACAGTCGACCGATATAGTGATTTTCACTGTATGTGAGAAGTGGGGTTTACATTGGTTGACCAGTTGCTTCCATAGATCTACTGAATTCAAGGGTAAATACCTACTACGTACCTCAACATAACTTCTTTACTTTGAAGGCGACATGCAAATGCCAATAGCATTTATCGACAGTTTTCAAGTAAGGATGCTTTCCCAGCATACTTGTTGCTTATTTCGGTTCGACCACCATGTTGTGCAAGTCGATCAATTTTGAAGAACAAAATATCGAGTGCCATATTTGAAATCGCACAAACCATATCACCAACATTTGTTAATTCAATCCACAACCCAAATCCATGAGTCCTAAATCACGACCCTAGCCCCTAACTCCGAACCCTAAGCCATAAATCGTCGTTAGTCATAAACCAAATAATATTTGCAGCAGTTAAAGATGTTAAGCCGACGGTTTTAGAACCCCTGCTGTTATCATTATTCAACATTTAACTATGCCCCAAACCCTTGGAGAATCATATTTGACGTCTCCTTTAGAGACGAATATTAAACCGTTGCTAAAATTTACAAAGTTTGAGTTCCACCGTTCTCCTAGAAAATTGTATAACCCCTATTACCTGCTTACTGAATTTCAAATCTCCCATGAACTTCTATTCAGGCCACAACTTGCTAACTTCAGTCACCGTACACATCACTCACCAAACCAATAATTCACAATCAAAGCAATACTGTTAAACTTGCGCAAAGACAATTTTGTTTGTCTATTCATATCAAAAGGAAGTTAAACATTGTTGTGTTCTGAATCGTTCACATCATGCAGTGCTTTCTTTTGGAACCCCATATTCACCTGTTACAAAGGCATAAAAACAAAAACAAAAGATCGTCTTACAAAATTTGTTTGTTTCTTCTTTAAAAGTAGTAGTATTATATATTAATATATAGTTAACTCCTTCCATCTTCTCGTTTTGTCAAAGTCAAAATATATATAATATATATATATATATATATATAATAGCAAAAATTCCTGAAGTCTTCTCTGGTTTGCACCAAGAAGATGGTGTACCTACAACGAAGGAATTCTTTTTTACCGGTATAAAGAAACCCTTTTTCGTAACGAATTCATCGTCATAAAAGACAATACAAGCCACGTGACTTTTAACGACCAAACTCTGGCCAGCCTAGCGCTTGTGCAGATCATTTCCCCTATCACCATGTGTATAAATATCCCAACCTCTCCCGCTGCCACAACTCAAACAATCCACCAAAAGCAAGAGAAAGAGAAAGAGTGAGAGATAGAAATACAAAGAAGACGATAGGTGCAAGAAATGGAGAAACCAACGACGACGGCCCTCATCTTGTCGCTAATGGTGACAGTCTTATTAGCGACCACCCACGCAGCAGCAATGACGGCGAATGCAAGGAAACTTGGCGGCTCCAATGATCGTGGTTACCAATTCCTGGCCATTAATGATACGGGAGGGATCGGTGATTTCGGAGGCTGCGGTGGGAAAAGATCAATACGGTGCGCTGACGGTCTCTGTTGCAATCAGTTCGGTTATTGCGGTAGTGAAACCGACTATTGCGGCGACGGATGTCAGCCATTATACGGCAAATGCGGCACCGGCGGCGGCGGCAAGAGTATACCCCCGCCGCCACCGCCCCGGAAACCGTGACGTCAACATTCCTCAAGGTTCATAATTATAAACAGCTTTATACTAATGAAATAACGCTGTCAAATTCAGCGATGAAATTATAATATGGTAATAGTGCTTGATATATGCTCTTTCCTCGGGTGTTCTCTTACTATAGGAATAATGTATCTGTCTCAAACTATTCTTTTTCATCACATAGAGAACCTGGTGCTTCCTTTAGATAATTTATATTTCTCAATTTTCTCCTTTAGTTCCCTTAATTTCACTAGCTTTCACCTCATTTCACTGGCCGGAATTTTTGTTCATCATGTTGTTCGTTGAGAATAAATAGGTCCATTTGTACTATATTGTCCGGTTTGTATCAAGATTGAATTGATTTTCTTTTTAGGTATCATCCCCGCCAAAAGGACTATTACTAATGAGTTAATTTAGTCAACACTAATATATAATGGTCATTTTTATTGTATAGAGTGTCCTATACCGATCCTTCACCTCAAGATAAGGACTACGAAATTTGTATTCTCCCATTAGCGATTATCTTGATCTATCAGATACCTTTTATCGACATGCTTTTCGACCTAAGAATTTACCAATGCATATCTTGAAATTCATGTCAGAGACGCAAATCTTCCTCGATCCGCCTAACAAACACATATTTTGTTTGCTCCGGCAGACAATGCAGATTTTCAATTAGATCTGCTAAACAGACACAGAAATAGGGTGACGACAAAACATCAAGTGCATAGTCGTACATGTAATAAAGTACAAGTAAAATTATTGTTTTTTGGAGGATTAGTGAAATTAAACCATTAAAATTTTTATAGAAACTATAGAAATTTCAAAGGATGCAATCAAGTGATAGATTTCATAGATACAAAAAAATTAACAAACTCGACAAATCAACTATTTTGAACTTTGGAGAAATAAATATTGGAGAGTTCAGGGGAAAACACAAGATTTTACTATTTTACCTCGATAAATTTAAATCCGCTAATTAATTAATTAATTTAATTCATATTTATATATTCAGCATACCTCAAAATTGATATCTATCTCTATCGAGAATTATCACGAACTAACTAATTAACACGATTTCTACTATTGTGGTTAATCTAATAGATTAATTAGTCTGAAGAACGATATCCCTAAAATGACTGTATAATATCCATTATTGATTCGATAGGCAAAGTTTTCACATTTCACAATAGAAAATGGAAAAAAGTCCTGATTAAAATATCTAGATAATAAAATCCCAAAGTTTTGATTAGTTCATGATGAAAAAAAGAACATAAACATGCTAATGTTCAACATCATAACTAATAAGTTAAACAAAGAAGTAGAGAAAATAGTAAAGTGTTGAAGTTAATCCTCAGCTTACAAAACTCTTCCTTTCTTCAAAATGTTTTATTGAGTACTCTAAAGTGTGCCAATGTGAGTTATCTTCTTTGATTTTTCTCTTGAAAACTACTTGCCAATAGTGTCTAAGAGGGTCCTGCTTACATGTTTGTTCTTCCCTATTAAGCTCCCTTAGCTTCCAACACATTTTCTCCCTCAAAACAATGCGCTTTCGGCTTCTATTTCCAAGAGAGAAAGCTGGTGCCAGCTACAGTCTCTCCTTTCATTAACTTTTATGCACATTTTTATCTATTGGTGAGCCACCAAATTAAAGTACTCACTTAAAATTATCAAAACACAAAGGACAGGAAAACTTCACCCTATATAGAGAATATACTCGATTTCACCTAAGTTAAATCACAATTCAATTATTGTGAGTGAATTATGATAAAAAGGTTAGGAAATCCTACTTGCAAACACAAGTTATATACACAAGTCAAGATTAATTTGAGATAACCATAATGGCAGATTCATACACAAAAACACAAAAATATTCACAAATCTCTCATTTAGAAATAGATTTTCCTTCATGCTGTTGATGGATTTCATCTAGATTCCTTCAATCTCTTATATTATAGTGATTAGATATAGGCAACCAAGTGCAGGGAAAGTTTCTAGGGTTCCTTTCTCTGTTCTTTCTCTTTGTTTGTTTCTTGTTAGAAGTAGTATTATGCGAAACTTCTTCCACTTCTTATTTTATCAAGCATTAACATTTTCTGAAGATTTCTCTGTTTTCCTACTTCTCAAATTCCTCCTACAGTCCAAACAAATCCCGTTGCAAAATTACACAAAAAAGATGGTGTACAACAACGAACTTCTTCTTTTTACCCGTATAAAGAAACCCCTATATGCCCATATGTTTACCGTCTCATATCTATGTCGTTTCTGTGTTGCCCTTCCTCGTTCGGACTCCCTCCTTTTTTCTTAACGAATTCATCATATAAAGATGTCATAACGAATAAAATAAGCCCTACGTCTTTTGTCAACGAGCAAACTCTTTGCTGGCCGGCCGGACTAGGGCTTCTGTATATATATATCCCTACTCTCACGTTGCCACAACTCAAACAATTCACAGCGCGAAAACAAGCAAGAGAAAGAGAACAAGTGAGAGATAGAAATACAAAGACGACGAGGAGGCAAGAAATGGAGAAGCCAACAATGACGACGACACTCATCTTGTCGCTAATGGTGACAGTCCTATTAGCGACCACCTACGCAGCAGCAACCGCCAATGCTCGAAAACTCGGCCGCTCCACCGCCTTCACTGGTCGTGGTTTCCAGTTCCTGGCCGTTAATGGTACGGCGAGGATCGGTAATATTGACACCGGCAGCTGCGGTGGGAAAAAGAAATTATCGTGCGAAGACGGTCTCTGTTGCAGTCAGTTCGGTTATTGCGGTAGTGTAGACGACTATTGCGGCGACGGATGTCAGTCGTCGTACGGCGAATGTGGTAGCCCCGGCGTCGACAAGAGTAGCCCACCGCCGCCCGAGAAACAGTGACGTGTCGTCAACGTTCCTCGAGGTTTTTATAAACAGCTTAATTAATACTTGATCGGGAGTTAAAAAAAGTGGGTGCTTAGTAGTAATGAATAAAGCTGTACGTGGAACTCAGCTATGACATAATACCAATACTAATGATACTAATTATGGTAATAGTAATTTGATATGTTTTCCTCGTTTTCCTCCCTCTTTCTATAGAAATGTACCTGTGTCTCGAGTTATCTTTTTTTCTTTTTCCATCACATGTAGTGATAATAGAAGCTGCTGCTTCTTTATTGGAAATAAAAGAGTTTGTAGTTCCTAAATTTCTCTTCGACTTATTTTTTTTTATAATGGTTAAAATAAAATAAAATTCTGGAAAAGGTTTGGTGGGCACCTAAAGAATAACAACATCTAATGTACACATTTGTTTTTGTATTTATTCGCGTAAATTTATGCTGATTCATGCTATACGGGTGTTTATTCACTTAGCTATTATGGTGTACTCGTAAAAGTGAGTAGATAATGATACTATACACTCAAAACTAAATAATAGTCTCTAATAAAAAAAAATCCAGTTGTAATTATTAGAATTAAGACAATATGATGATATAATATAAAATTAAAATAAATTTATACATTAGCGCTAGAGTCAGAAATTTTAATCCTAAATTCTAAACTCTGAACTCTCACCGTGAACTCATTAATACTTATAAAATCATTTAGTGTTGAGACCATTTTATCATGAATCTATTTACTCAAAATAGTGACTATGAAAAAATAAAAAGAGTGCCAAGTGGCAAGTGAGACCATTTTAGGTATCATGCGCCGATATTTACTAGTTGGCCTAACTAACTGAAAAAGCATATTCTAAAAAAAAAACAGTATATTCTTTTCTTTTTCCCGAATCCTCAGTCCTGCCATTCATTGTTTGTTGGGATCCTCGAACACTCATTCTCAGTTAATCTTTTTGATAATGGTGAATTATTAATTTATTAAAATTCGAAAACAAAAAAACAGAGCAATTCTACTTATGTTTTTGTGGAGTCAATCTCAGCGCCTCTAATTAATTTCCCCCCCTTTTAATATAAACCGTGATGGGAATGTTTATGGTGATATTGTTAATAATGTTGGGCAAATAAGAACATTAATATTTAGCATATCAGAGTGGATAAGTCTTTGCTTAATTTCAAAGAGATAGGGTACAGGTCAATCTATACTTTTACGACAATATATAAGTCAATACATACTTGAATTTCTGGTAATAATTGGAATATTTTTTTTGTGACAAATATGGTATTAGAGCATTTGATTGAAAGCCATTCCATCACGATCTTCAATATTAACAATTGATATAAGCAATTTATAATGGAATTATGCAAATTATAATTTCATGAGTTGCCTTCTATTAGCACAGACACGAGCCGTGTAAGTAACGAGATGTATAACTCTTGTAACACAATTGTAAAGGTAACATAGAGTTTTCGTTCATCTCTATTCAATAAGAAGCAATACATTTCAAAATTTCAATACATTCTAGTAAGAAGCCATACATTTCACCATTATCTCTTGCTCTCTAATTATAATTTGTATCTTAAAGGATTAATCATTTTTTAACTAGATATAATGTGGATTTAGTAAATCTGAAGCACTTGTGAATTTTAATTGAATTTCGCGGAGTATGTTTTTGAGTTTAGAAATTTTAATTAAACTTACTAACTTAGTAGGTATTTGAGTCTAAAGTTTTAGCAATTTTATTGCTTTATAGAGAATATTGTACGCTCTAGTAAATTTATTACCGACAAATTTTAGTGACGGACAAGAATTTGGTCGAGTAGAATTAATGTTGATTTTCAACTGAAAGTCAAAGTATCTAAAATAGAACATGACAATAAAAAAAAATAAAAAAAGATAAATATTTTTGTATTTTAAGGAAGTAAATCAGTTATTATTTTTTAAAAAACGAAAATTCTGCCAATTAATTTGATCAAGGCAAAAAAGGGAAAGGGCAACATATGTTAAGCTGCCCGGGAAATTGACTGTTTCGCGGGTCGCTTCTGCAGAGTGAGCACACCGTAAATTCGCACACTTTCCGTTGCTCCATTTTTGTCTCCAGTCTCCACTACGCCTCCTACAGTTCGTTACTTTCTCTGCTGGCGTTTTCCGCTTTCCCCATCCCAATCCATCTTCGTTCGTAACGTTAAAACTTCCCTTTGATTCCCTTCCCCCATCCCCCAGAGAAAAGCAGAAACTACACTCAGCTCGCGCTACGCTCGTTCAGAGAATTTTCCATTGAAGAAAAAGGGAGGAAAATCGGTTCCGCGGTGGTGGAGAAAAAGAGAAGAGAATGGATCTCTGGGGAGCGCTACAAGTGAAGAACGCCACTCGGAGCCCTCTTCTCGCTGGGGCTTATTCGATTCCTACCGAGCGATTGGGTTGCTGGGCCCGCGAGAAGAAATCGATTGGGTTGTTGGAGATCAGGGTTTTCAATCGGAAGCTCTGTTCCCACTCGTTGATTGTCAGGGCTAAGGCGAAGAAGAATAGCAATAATAACGATGACAATTCGTCGTCATCTTCTTCGCCTTCTCCTTTCGGTATGGGGTCCCTCTTTTGTGGGTTTTTTTGTTGATTCTTTCAATTGGATTGTTGAATTGCTTGTTCATGGTGGGGGAGCGAGGGTTACCCCGGTTTGGTTTCGATCTTAATTTGGGTCCAGTAAGTAAAGGTGTAAACTTTGTTCGATTTTGGTTGGTTGGGGGAAACCCTTTGCATGGTTGAAGAAGGTGACAATGATTCATTGAGTGAATTGCTTGTCTACTTAGTTTGGGAATTGGAATGGAAGTATGATCATTGAGGGTGAAAGCTCGATGATTTAGCCCTATTGTGAACTTGTTGTGTTGGTGATGGGATATTGAAACCCTTTGCATAGTTGAAGAAGGTGGCTTTGATCATTGAGTGAATTGCTTGTCTACTTAGTTTGGGGATTGGAATGGAAGTATGACCATTGAGGGTGAAAGCTCGACCCTTTAGCCCTATTGTGAACTTGTTGTGTTGGTGATTCTGTTCTACCACCTTATAACTGTTTTTCGGTTCAGGTCCTGAAGGGGCATTATAGGCCTACTTCCTCAGAACCCTGCTAGAATAGAAGCAGGGATACTTGTTTCACGTACTGTGCTTACTTTGTGTGCTGCTGATGGTGACACCTGCAGAAAATGGTGATAGATCTCACCCTGATGGAGAAGTGTCAAAAGGTAAAAAATCGTCTGATGGAAGCAAAGCGAACAATAGTTCTTCCAAGAAGCCGATTCGTGCAAACCTGGACTGGAGAGAATTCAGGGCGAGTTTGGTTGCTAAAGAGCAGGTGACGTTTTCTTCCACGGCATGCTAATTCTCCCCCTTCCACACAGGAATACTAATTTGTCATCCTTATGAATGAGGCTTGATTCTGTGTTTCTTTTGTCCTTTTTAGCTCTTCCTATTTCTTAACTTATGAATAGGATATGATATTTAGGCTTATATGTGGTGTTGCTCCTGGGTATTCTCAACCAAATACTAGGCTGGTCTATCATTGAGATTTTGTCAAGTAGTTTACTTAGTTATAGTTTGAACTTGACGTAGATCTGGAAGCAAAATTTCGCAGAAGATGATTGATTAATTGATGCTTTGAGTTGGAATATAGGTGAATTTATCATCCAATAAGTTTTTATAAAAGTCATTCTTCATAGGTTCATGATAAGTGGGTAGAGTTGATCTTGATGAATATTAACAGGCACACAAGTCTGAGACCGAGACTCACAGTAGCCAGAGCGGGTCACTCCAAGAGCCGAAACCTCTTGCCCTGAAGTGGGCTCATCCTTTATCAGTCCCTGAGACCGGTTGCGTCCTTGTTGCCACTGAGAAACTCGACGGAGTTCGTACATTCGAAAGAACTGTTGTCCTTCTCCTAAGGTCTGGAACCAGACATCCACAGGAAGGACCATTCGGTGTTGTCATCAATCGCCCACTGAACAAAAAGCTTAGGCATATGAGGCCGAACAATAATGAGCTGGCAACCACATTCTCAGATTGTTCTCTGCATTCCGGAGGGCCCCTTGAGGCGAGCATGTTCTTGCTGAATACAGGAGAGAATAAGACCAAGCTTCCCGGGTTTGAAGAAGTGGTTCCCGGTTTGTGTTTTGGTGCTAGAAACAGCTTAGATGATGCTGCAGCACTTGTGAAGAAAGGAGTGCTGAAGCCCCAGGACTTCCGGTTCTTTGTTGGTTATGCTGGTTGGCAGCTGGATCAGTTGAGGGAGGAGATCGAGTCTGATTATTGGTATGTGGCTTCTTGCAGCTCAAATCTCATCTGCGGAGGATCATCCATGATGGAGTCCGGGAATCTATGGGAAGAGATTTTGCAGCTTATGGGGGGCGATTACTCAGAGGTGAGCCGGAAGCCTAAGCAAGACATGTAAGTTTATTGAGAACACGATGGATATGGATCTGAATGAAAATATGGATGTGGTATTAATGGAGTGAAATGTACAGAAACTCACTGTGCCTAGATAGCGTTTTTTTAGCTTGTTTCGTCTTTCCTTGGCTTTGGTCTCAGTTGAGTGTAAGAACTTGGCAGTTGCTGTTTTATGTATGTAACAGAATGGTTGCGTTGCATTAATGTTATGGTGACAAAAAAGGGGGGGAAACAGTAAATCCCTCCTGATAAATTAACCTCTTTGGTGGGTTCAATAAACTCATTTGTCTGCATTTTGTGCTGCAATGTCACAAGTCATCTCTGTTCCCTTTGGAATCACTAAAGCAGGAACTGGATAGTTAAGGGTTGGTTTGGATAGGTGTCCTTGTTCAGATGGATCACATCAATAAAGTCCTATTAATATATCAAGTATCACTCTAAGCGTGGATCCTACTGTTCAGTCATCATCATCAAATAGTTAATAGTTCACTAATCATGTACTTCTGACAAATTTTACAACACCAAAACAAGTCAATTGGAATCTTCATATCCTTATTTCGTCTTTTGGATTTATCCACATCCAGACAACAGCATTTCAACCCCACCATTACAACCCTCCTTTAGATCATTTAGTTTCTTGTCCCACAAGAGTCCTTCAAGGCCAGCTTCTACATCAATCTTCTTACTACCGTTGCTGTTAAGGTTCTATTTTGTTCTCTCCTCCTATGGCTACTTGCTTTTTCTGAAGGGCTGAAAGTCTGGTTTTTTTTCCTTCATCTATGTTGTGTTTGCCTTTGGATATACAGTATGCATGCAAGCACATGATCATCATCCTCCACAGCTACTGTTGTGATCCTCATCGATAAGGTTGTCTTTAGATCTGGCTTTCCTGATGGCTTGTTGGATTTGTCGCTCGTGCTCCTTCAGAAGCTCTTCCATGTTGCCTCCTGGAGGCATCAGAGGTCCAGAGTAATGGAGCCTGTTCTTCCTTGGAGGCACATACACCTGAACCAAAAAAAAAAAAAAAAAACCCCACCAACACTCAAAAACTGAACGTCATCACGGATAACTGGCATAAACCCATCAAGTCATTACCACTGAAGAGTCTTTGATGTTGAATGATGAGCCACCATTGCTGTTACCGTTCTTCCTCCAAGCGACTGTCATGTCGACTGTTTGTTGGGGCGCCAAGGATTTCTGTGTCCTGAGCTCCGTCATGATGCTGTTGTTCCTGTTTCTCACAGTGCTCGCGGTGGAGAAATCGTTCTTGTTGGCAAGACTGGGATGGATCATGGAAGATGAGTGAGTGTAGCCACCACCAGCACCAACATTTGGCCTGATCATCACCATCCCTCCTCCTGCTGCTAAAGGCTCAACCCTGTAACCACCATTAGCTTCATCCTCGTAGTTATGGCTATTGCTGTTTGTAGCTTTCCCTTGCCCTTCACCAGGTAATGAACCTCTGCCGTTTCTTTGGCCTTTGCCTGATTCAGGTCCCCTCATTTTAATGGCTTCTGCTCTTTGTCTGCGAAGTCACAGCAAACAGATTTGAAAAGTTGATGACAGATGACCTGTTTGGAATAGTTTGCTGTCTTTGGTAGAAGAAGTGGTTCAAGATCATACCTTCTTGCTTCCTCTTCTCTGGTTTTTGCATCAAGTTCCTTGCTTGGAGGATACTTGGGTAGGCTTGAAGGTGCACAAGGGAACGGCTCTGTATTGAAGAACTGCACACAAAATGAAAGAAAAAGGAAGCATTTTCCATTATTGTCGAAACTAATCATGTCATGTGCAGAAAAAAAGAAGGAAAAGTATGAAAGTCAGAGTACAAATGTTTAGCTGACCTGGCTTTCAAGGGCAGAAGCAGCCGTTCCTCGAGCTTCCGGCTCGATGGACAGCAACTTATCTACAAGTGCCAAAGCTGAAGGGGGGAATTTGATGAATGTCTCTTCAACACAACGCTTGTAAGGCTGTTGAGGCTTGAAAGTTGTTGCATGTGGGAACTTTGTCTTCTGCCAGTACTCTTCTGATGGTGAGCCACATAGCTTGAATATCTTGTGCATTTGCTCCACCTAGACAGAAAAAGAATTTCATGATTCAAGGTGAAATTGTTATTTTTTGTTCTCGAAAATGATGTCGAGAAGTAATCGAGTTTTATCTTCCATTACCTCTGTTCTTCCAGGCATGATGTGCTTCCCAGCAAAGAGCTCAGCAAGTATGCAGCCAGCACTCCAGAGGTCTATCCCAACTCCATACTGTGTGGCACCAAGCAAGAGCTCTGGTGCCCTATACCACAGTGTCACCACCCTACTCGTCAAACCCTGCTGCTGCGAACCACGATAGAAGTTGGCCAATCCGAAATCTCCAATCTTCAGAACACCGTCGTTGTTGATCAAGAGGTTCGACCCTTTGATGTCACGATGCAGAATGCCACGGTCATGGCAATGCTGAAGCCCTCGCAGAAGTTGCTGCATGAAACATTTGATCTGCTGCTCGGTGAACCTTACACCGGGTCTCATTGCAAGCCCAGTAAGGTCATGTTCCATGTACTCGAAGACGAGGTACAAGCACTCCGACATCCTGGAGGTCACAATGCACTCAAGCCTCATCACATTTGGGTGGTCAAGTTTCCTCAAGATGTTGATCTCCCTCGCCATGAATCGAACACTTTCGGGGTCCATGTTCACGAACCGCACTTTCTTCATCGCCACGATCTTCCCTGTCTGAAGGTCTCGCGCCCTGTACACTGTACTGTAAGTCCCCTGTCCAATCTGCCCAATTACACAAACTCTGTTTTTCATTGACCTCTTTAGAAGCATAAATCAAGTCACCAGAAATTAACGGATGGTATAGCATCAAGTAGGGACGACATTATACCTTTTCTAGCTTCTCGAACGAGCTGGCCTGTCGCGGCAGCCAACCTCTAACAGCATCACCAGCGACCGAGGTTAGCCATTGAGGCCACCCTGGGTCAATCTCTGCATCACCATCACATGGCATGCTAGAAGTTCTAGACATACGAGGCAGGAAGAAGAAGTTACTCCCACCGGAGAGGTCCATCGTCGTCCCCCTCTGGTGATGTCGAGCTGATTTCGAGACGAGCTTTTTCTCATTGGCGAACATTCGGTCTCCCACACTGCCATTGTTGTTGTTGTTGTTCTTGCCAATCCCATTGGCATTAGGATTGTAATGAGAGACTCTGGATGATTGTCGCGAATGGAACCTAGACGCTCTTTTACTAGCGCTGCGAGACGAGTAGTTGGATGGATCGTGATCGTGGTATTCTTCTGCCTTGCAAGGTGTAGGAGCAACAAGTTGGTTGGAGGATTTATCATTTAGATTGGTTTGATCCTTATTGTTGTTGTTGTCAGCGCTTAAATCTTCTTGTTCTTGAGCTCCTTTGGAGCATATACAGCCCATAATCTCGCACAAAAACCTTGGGAATACGTATGAGAGAGCCAATTTTGATGATCATCAACCATTAATGATGAAATGATGATAGATAATTCTTGTTCTTCTTTCTCAACATTCATTCTGAAAACCTCGGGTTTAACATTTCCTGATGATTTCCTCTCCACCGTGTGCTCGAACTTTGGGACTAAAATCACCTGACAACAAAAGTCATTTCTTCGTTGTTCTATCGAAAATTTGAATTCACCCAAGACGATGTGGTGCAAAAAATGTCAAAAGAGGGAAAATTCGGACCCTGAATCTTCACAAAGAAGAAACAATGAAAATCCAAACAGAAATCACAACATTGAACAGAAAAATTATCTGATGATGATAACAATACAAGAAAATAATGATTCTGACAATGAAGGAATTCTGAGTGGAGATTCAGGGTTTCTCCTACGTTTGTAAAAGATTAAGAAAAAAATGAAAAAGTTTGCGAAAAAAGAATCCTAAACTAATGGTAACATGTTAGAAGAAATGGACGACATCAATGGAAGAAAGTAAAGAATATTTTTGTTATTCTAAAATATCACTAAAAGTTGATTTTTTTTTTGAGAAATGTCACATATTAATTTTGTTGTTGTTAGTTTCAGAAGTTGAGAAACAAAATAAAAAACTAATTCTTTTTTACATAGTTTCCTAAAACTCCTATACATCGAACATTTTTGGATCAGACAATTAATTCTACCTTTCAATGATGCCTTAGTGGTTGCTCGATACTCGTATCTCATCATGATTATAATAAATAACAAAGTTCATGAAACTTTTAAGGAACAAGACCGTGTCATATATTTTCCATGAAATGAAGAGCAATCTTCAAGAAATTTTTAACTAATGTGGTGTCACAATCATTATGAAGTACAAATTTTGTGTTACAATTAGTATTCATGGCATCAAAAGATTTCAAACTACTTTCACTCATCCTCAACATCTCCTTCTAGAGAATGTTGTTGTTTCAAACTACTTAGTATTTATGGCATCACAAGATTTCAAACTACTTTCACTCATCCTCAACATCTCCTTCTAGAGAATGTTGTTGTTTCTCCCTCAAGCAATTTGAGGAAAAGAAACAAAGAGACAAGGAAGTGAAGAGGGCAAGTCGAGAAAGTGACTATAAGGTAAACAAATTTGTCATTACTAGCTTGTTTAGTCGATTGTCTTTGACCTTCTTCCTATTGTAGAGACAACATACTAATGGTTAATTTGAATTAACCCTCCAATGTGATGCAATTGCTACAATGTACTCTGTGGAGAGAGCTTAAATTTGATGCACATAATGATCTATTTGTTTACCTTATTGGTCTCCTGCGTAGAATGAACTTACATCGAAGTTCAAGATGGATAAGTTAGTCAGACTAAATCTAAAAGGACGTGGTTTTAATACCACTCTTAGAAACTTAAATCTCTTAGGTATCTCATTTTGAGAATGTAACACTCTACTAAATCACTTCCAAGTATTTTAAATTTTTAATTCCTAAGCTGAGAATAGGGTTGGCAATAGATCGTCCTATTTTGACCCAAGTACAATAATCCATATGGGTATTGGGCTTGAACCCAAATTGACCCAATTTATTGTTTTTGGATTGGGTTTAGATTGTAGTTAAGTTGGGCATATCCATTTGGGCTGACCCAAATAAGTGTATAAACCATATATTATATTGAGTCACCTTGGTTAATGGAAGTGAACATGGGAGAGAAGGGCTTTCGTGGTGTTATTAATTTTATACTGCAATCTTCACAAATGATTTTTCAATTGAATCAAATCTATTTACGATTCGTTCTGACTTGAGTTGGCAATTTTGTATCCAATTCGTTAATACATTCCAATATATCCACTTAAATATCCAACTAATTCACCAATTTTTGAATCCAATTCATTTGACATCTCTAGTTCAAATAGTAACATCAAACTTTGTTACAGAAGACCTCTTGGTACAGTTCTTGACAACTGATTTCCTCCAAGCCTAAGCCTTTGGAGAGAGATAATAATTTTGAATGGAGCGACTGTACAAACCAGCTAGGTATTGGTGGCATAAAAACCTTTAGACTACTAAAAGTTGTTAATCCATGGGCAAACAACTCTCACCATTAAATGCATTATAGCTTATATTTTGATACTGAATGGACAACACAAAACTGAACTCCCTAGTTCCTAATCCAATGAACCAAAAAAAAAATTGTTGCTTATATCAACATGAACTAAGCTACTCAATTCATAGAATAGATTCCTGACATCCCACAAAGAGGCGGTTGCCATGAAGATTCAAGTACTTCAAAGTCTCAAGATTGAGAAAACCAGAAGGAACTATTCGTCGAAAGTTGTTGACAAAAAGATTCAGCATTGCCAAATTCTTCCAACACGCGTTGTCAATAGGCATAAAACCTTCAAACAAATTGTTGGAGACATCAAGAATTGAAGGGACTTGATTGAACCAACATCCGAGATAGTACCAATGAAATGATTGCTCGAAATTGACAAGTTGCTCAACATTTTAAGAACAAAGATCATTGGGAAACTGAAATACCCACCTAAACTCGTCACATTCAGATTGATTGAATTGAAGCTTTACTGCCATCATTGCACACAATTCCATACTAATTTTTGGGACAAACATTGGAAGCACTGGATGTAGAATCCCACGACTCGAGCACTCTCTAAGGAAGAAGTGGTTGTTCTGTCTTCAGTAACGAAAGATAGAACATAGCAACATAGGTGGACATTAGAGGGGAAAGAAGGATGAGGAAGGGCGCCAGATTTGGGAAAGATAGGGATTGGATGAGCCTCGTTTGGGTATTTCTTGAGATTAATTTCTTCTTTTTTTCATTTAAGAGTGTGGGCTTAATTACACCCAAATTTAATTAGTTGAGATGATCGAACTCTATGTTTTTGGTTTGAAAGCGCTAGAATTAGTCCCATGTAGGGTCTATAGCTCAATGGTAGAGTATTTAACTGTGGATCAAGAGGTTTTCAATTCGAAATTGATTGGCCCCTTCCTATTTTTTTAATATAATTCTTTCATAAAACCCATAAATCTTATGATAACCCCTTTTTATTATGCCAGAATTAGCTAAATTGTTTAGTTCCTTCCAATACCTTAAAATATATAAAGACAACTAAATAAGGAAGATATCTCCCATATGACAGTCTATTTAAAGAGAGACAATTTGCTCCACACAATCCTTTCCGAAATTTATGAGTACAAACGACACACCAAGCTTGCTTTTAAACTAAATTTGAAAGAACTTTTAATAAAAAACATATAACATGTTAACCTTGTGGCTCATATAAAAATCATGTTTACCATTTAGCTCACATGATTTGTCATTTATACAGATCACGTTTCTTCGATCTTGTTAGATATAGATCCGTATGAGAGAGCAAATTCCTATGATCATCAATCATTATTGATGAAATTAAATAACGATAGATAATTCTTATTCTTTTTTCTCCACCATTACCAAAACAGATCCAGTTAGGACACAATCTGGTTTTCAGCTGCAATCGAATTGTTTTAAACAATTTGGTTTACTATATGACCAAAAATCTTAAATTGTTTTCCCAACTATAGTTTTATCTATCTAATTATTCCTTTATTTCTGGTTTTCATAGTTAAGTCCAGACTTTTTCCACAATTCTAGCTTTGGCCAGCTTTTCTCAATCCTTTCTTTTCCCTCTAACTTGATAGCGGACGGATAAGAGTATATACAGTCGTTATCTCTCCGGCCATCCTTCAGCTCCGACCGTGTACGTTTATTGATTCCTAGTTCGTTAGGTACGACGTTTGAATATTCCAAACTATCCAGTAAAATCATTGGAGAAAAGTCAAGATAGAGAAACCTGAGGGATCAATGAAGCAGATTCCTACCAGGGATCTAATACGTTTTTGGCTTTTTTGTAAAATTCCTTTATGTTTCAATTTGGTTAGTTTTAAATTTTTTCTTGGTTGACAGTAGACTTTAGGTATTACCCAAACCCAATCCGGCTATTGGGCAAGCATGGGTCTTCCTATTAGTAGCAATGAAGAAAGCCGCTCGTGAGCATTGATATTTGGATAAAAAACTACTCATTGAACACTAAGTACTCCTAATTTAACAAGCAACATAATCACTCAACACTCTAGTATATAAAGTAAGAAATTAAGAATAAATATGGATCAGATTGCTATACATCGGGAGTATATTTCAGATACTTTTTAATTTGATCATGAATTAAATTGATTTTGGGTGTGATAATATCTAATATATCTTAATTTCTAATGGTTAAATTTCAGGCCCGATTTTATAAACTCAAATAAAAAATAATAATTAATTGGTAAAATTGATCGGAGCTCAATGAAGTAAGTTAGATCGCCTGGATATACCAATCTTTACCCAATGTATATGTATGATAACAAATTAGCTGCCGGCAACAGTACAATCTCAACAAAATACAAAATCAAATGGTCGAATCACTCATAAATAAACAGTAGTAAAGAACAGAGAATTTAAAGAGTAATAAAGAGAACCCAAAAACTCTTCTACTACTCCAAGTCTCCAACCCGGGCCTCTATCATCCAACGCCCTTTATCACGGGTCTGTAAAAGCAGCAAACATCAAAAGGAAGAAGAAGCGAGAGGTAGAGGAAGAGAATAAAAGGATTAAGATCTGCTCTCCATCAAATAGACAATTGTTTGAACCTAACTGAGTGTAGGAGTTAGATTTAAGTGAGAATTGGGGTCAAGAAGAAGTGCAAGTATTGGGTATGATCGGAAAGTCCAAGCCTGGGGAGTTGAGGGAGAGCAAGAGAAGGGATATTAGAGGGATAAGCTGTTATTGTAGAGAGAGAGTGGTGAAAAATGCGATCTCTTCACCCACCGGAGTAAATGCCATATTTATAGGCTACATGTTGGTGGGTGAGAGGGTGGACTACGAGACGGTACAACGACGTGACTACTGATGTGTCAGGGATATAGGCCATCCCTTAACCTAGGACTTGTCAGAGGGTTGTCTATGATTGCACCTAAAGTCTTGACGTGACCTTCCCTCGGGAAACGCAATGACGCCCTCTGCGGTTATGACGCCTGGTCTTCACACTCCCGCGCGTAGCTTCACCCTTGACGCGCGCAAGGTCTTCCCGCTGCCGGGTGTGTCGCGCGGTCTGATATGTTCTCTTGGCGCGGGGACGATCTCCACACTCGCGCGTGTGGCTTTACCCTTACCGCGCGCAAGGTCTTCGCGTCGCCGGTTGTGTCGCGCGGTCCGATATGCTCCTTTGGCGCGGGGACGATCCGAGTCATATGCCCAACAATTGCCCCCCACAGGGGGTGTTTCTTGAACGCCTCCTGTTGAGATCTCCGCTCTGTTGACTCGGATCCCCGTGCTTCGCGAGAAACGGCGGGCTACGTCCTGTGCGCTCTGAGAGCATCGTGATCGCGCGACTATCTTGAGGTTCCTCCGTTCGTTGCGAGGTGAGGCGCGGTTGTCTTGTGGGCGCGGTTTCCGCGGGGTTCTCTTTGAGTATATTT